GGCGCGCCCGATGTGCCGGCGGCTGCTCTTGCTGCTGCTGCTGCTGCTCAGCGCTTCCCGGTTCTCCTCGCTCTAGTCCGTTTTCCGCAGCCTCCAGCGGCCAGTCCTTATTTCGGACATCAGCGCTCGGCTGGGCTGAACGAGAACGGAAGTTTCGTTTTAAATGGGACGAATTACGCTTGCAGTTTACAAACTCGCAACTCGCCGTGCCTCTAATCTGTCGCCCTTTTCACAATACGTACATATTCCTAAAGAGTGCCTTGACCTGAAATGTTCCTCGGAGTAGGCAATTGAGTTTCTTCCAAGGGGAAGTCGTCCTTTGTGCTTCTTGGAGAAGCTCCCTAGGCGTTGTTAGTTAAAGAATAATATGCATAGTTTGCTCCGGGCGCTTCCTCCTAAGAGCCTGAGTGATTTTGCCATGTTCATATTATGTAAGTAGCTGTTAGTGTTTATACAGCAGTGGTATTAGGTAGTTGTTATGAAACCTGCATATACAAATACAAAACCACAGCAAAAAAACCCCTGTTGTCAACAACATCTTTTCATGGACCAAATACTCCTCCGGTTCTGTTTGTGCGTCCTGGCTAGTGGGTTAAATTTGGGAGATGAAATAGATGGAAGAGCTAGAAAGCAATCACAGTTGAAGTGAAGCCATAAACATCTGTAATGGATCCTGAAAACCATGTCTGTATTTCTCACAGTAAATCACTGAGCGATGAAGAAAACCTGAAGCTGTTTGGGAAATGCAACAATCCAAATGGCCATGGGCACAACTATAAAGGTAAGGAATTGCTTACACATGTAGTCATGGACAGAGGCTGCTCTCAGGCAGGCTGGTTTGAATGCGGAATAACCTGTGGGAGAGCTGGGCCAGTTGTGTCTCAGCAGTCTGATATGGCTTTTAGTGGCTGGGTTTGTGGTTTTTTAGAATTGGAAGAAATCCTCAGCAGCAGAGGGGTTGAACCATGGCATGGATTTGGAAGCTATTAGGTTAAATAGATAATAAGTATTTATCTCACAATGTCACTTCATGAATCAAATCTACCTGTTTATAATCTGCAAAATCATTGTGTTTTGAATTAAGATTTTCCTAAGGAAAAGACATGCAATTTAAACAGCCGTTAAACTTTATTTGATTGTTGTTTTCACAAGTTCTTCTCCTACCATCTATACTCTATGCACATAGAATTGGATCTCTCCAGTTATTAGACTGGCTCCCTGTTTAGCACTGGGTATTGTAGGTACCCTGAAATCTCTGCTGCAGAGCTACTAGCTTTACCAGGGAAGACAGATTGATGGATTGCTGGACTGAAGATCTGTCCCTCATTTTGAAACTGACTTACAGGCACAGCAGTTGTTGCATTCTCGTAGAAGAACGACGTTTCCATCGTAAAAAAAAGAAATGCTGGAAAGCTAGGGAGATGCTAAAACTGTTCCTTGACAGGGGGAAGAGAGAGTGAGAAAAAGGGTACGAAGGGACTTTTCAACCCCAGAGGAGAATCACAGCTAGGCTCAAATCCCTGTCTTTCTCTTTTGTGAGTTCCCCAGTGAGCTGTGGTTCTGTTCTCGGCTCCTGGGGTTAGTGGGAAGGAATGCTGAGCTTATAAGGATGATGTTTCTAAGTGTTTTATCTCTTTTGTTGAAAGGACTTCTGGGTTGAAATGACACTGTGCAGTAATTCTCGTTCTTAGAAAGTTGGCGGCCACTTCATCCTTTTCTTTCCTTCTCTGGTATTCCATGATGTTAGAAGACTTATAAGCTGACCCCACATCTTATGATCTCGGGGGTCTGGTGGTTGTATGGACACCTAGGATATCTGCATTGTCCAGAAGACTTTGTTGATCAAAAGGCTTTGATCTTGAGTGTGCAGGGCACAGGCTGTCAGAGGGAGTAGGTACTTGAGAAGTCATCTAGTCTTCTCTGTGCCTGCAAGGGGCGCTTCAGGGATAGTAGTGTGTCTCTGGGCATCAGACCTTGGAGAATTACTTCATCATTGAGCAGGGTGATTCTGTGTCATTATTCTTCATGGAATGCATACCCATTTTATTAAAACAGTTCCACTTTTAAGTGCTGGGAACCCTGCGCCGGTCCTCGTGGATTAGCGATGAATGGATTGTCTGTCCTAATCAGCAGTGTACTTTGTTGTTAGGTTGATGGTGTCGTGGTGTCATTGTAACTTGGTATTTTCTTTTTTTCAGTTATAGTCACTGTGTGTGGAGAGGTAAGTGCAATCAATGTGGGTTTTTTTTCCTGTTCCTTAGCGTGGTGGGATAGATGGGTCCCCATCTTCCACAGTACTGAAGTTCTAGCTCAATTGCTAGGTTTCCCAGAGTGTTTGTGGAAACTCTACACATCGCTATAGAAGAAGGTTTTCTGTAGTCACTGTCCTAGTCACCTTGCCTCTAACACAGATTTGCAGGTGACTGTATTTAATCCAAGGTTTGTAGTCATCCTCTGGGCACATAACTTAGTCTGCTAGAGCCTCACTGCATAATGTATAGGCTCTGGTCAGATCTGTGGGGCACCTTTGGATGACTACTGAACTACAGCGAGGCTTAGCACTTCCAGTAACTGATTCCCTCTGCTGCTTTATCAAGGTATTTTGCCGCAAATATAAAAGGAAATTCTTCTTTCGCAGTTGTTTTTCACCTTTCATCCTGTCATTATTCTCAGTATTCTGCAGAGTGAGTTGTTTAGACTTTGGTTTTGATGTTTTCCAAATAGCATTTTGAAAATTTCCAGTTCATAGGAAAGCAGGTTTCTATTCAGATCTGAAACTAAAATTTTAAAGCCTCTTCCTTCTACATTCCCCAAACATGCTGTGAACTACATGACCTAATTTTGTTCCTGGAGCCGTGCCTTCTCCAGATGGGAGGATGCCCTCAGCTCAGGCTGGTCTCTCCTTTGTCCCTGGTTGCTCAGCCCAGGAGTTTAATGCCTGTTTTCCTGCTTATGGTCATGCACGGTTGTTGCTTGAAGAGTGAGTGTTTCAGTGAGTTTTTCCTTCCTGGTGCCAGCTTTTATGAGAGAGTGGAACAACTGGAGTTGTTTGTATGCTGTATCTAGCCTTTGGGAACATCACAGGAGGAGAGTTGGAACTCAGTGTGTGAAGGTGGAAAGATATTTTTCTTACGGCTCAGGTGTCCTGAGCTCACCGATGCTCCCAGTCTGATTTGTGCAGGCTCATGGCAACCTTGGTAATAAGGACGTGTAGCTAGGCTGCTAATCTCCCTTTTGTTTTCCCTGCAGATTGACCCAGTCTCAGGAATGGTTATAAACCTGACAGACCTGAAAGAGTATATGCAGGTAATAGCACTATTTTCCTTCACATCTCCTGGGAGAATTGGTTAGAGCTTAGCAATTTGTCTAGTACCAGGGTGGAGACATGGTGAGTTGATGATGGTAGGAAATAAAGAAGAAATTAAGGAATGATTTAAGACTAAAATGCTTTAGTACCATGTCTCCAGCTAGGAAGTTAACATGTGGATGTAGGGGGTCTTATCCATTTTTTACATATTGTTGCCTTGCACCCGTCCCGTTTGCATGGGAATTTGAACCCCAACTGCACTGACTGACCGGGACAAGATTGTCACTGTTTTCTTTCTGCAGGAGGCAATCATGGAACCACTTGACCACAAAAACCTGGATAAGGATGTGCCGTACTTTGCTGAGGTTGTGAGGTGGGTGATGGAGACTCCTCGTGGTGTTGGTTGCAGGGTCAAGGAACAGTCTTCAAGGCTTAGTCCTACCTCTCAGAGCAGCCTTGATACCTTTGTGTGCAACACACCTGTGACAAACACTTATGTGTGTCAGGTGCTGGGTGCCCTGCCTGCCTTCCAGCCCTGCTGCCATGCAGCCTGCCTCTCTGGGCTGGGCCGGGCACAGGCCTGCTGGGGCAGCTGCCGTCCGGCATACCCAGCAAGGCACCACTTGCTGGCACCTGAGGACCCCTTTGCAGACTGGCACTTGTCACATGATCCTGCTCTGTGGACAGCTTGCGGAGACAGATATGACCTGTTAATTAGACCTCATTTCATCCATGGTTGCTAGCAATGGTTCAAGCCCCACTTACATTCAGGTTGTCACCACGTGAAAGCTGGCCGCATGGCTCCCTGTGGCCTTTAGGATCCTGCCCGGCCCATTCTGGGTACAGCCTCAAATATCATTACTGTAGGTTTTGAATGTGCTCATGTTTCACTCTTAGCACCACAGAGAACGTTGCGGTGTTCATCTGGGAAAACCTCAAGAAGCTCCTGCCTGTAGGAACTCTTTATAAAGTCAAAGTGTATGAAACGGACCAGAACATTGTCGTTTATAAAGGTGAAGAAACAATCCCCGAGAAGTGAAATGAGCTTCAGCTCAATCGGTCGGAAACTCTGCTGCATAATCAGATCAGTGGATTACTTCAGCCCTGCTCTCTGCATTTCCTACACCGAGATATTGGTTATGTACTACATAAGGACAAATACAGATGTTTCACAAGAATTCTTGCCACAATCTTGCAGTTTGGGTTCTCAGAATTTGTTGATTTGTTTGCTTTTTCTCAAGACATCCCTGTTTTGCAAACCCAAAACGCCAGGCTGATGTGAAGTTTACAATTCTGCCATGTTAAATAAAGCAGCTTTCTAGAGAGGAGACAGCCTGGCAAATGTATGTCTTGCCCAGTCACAAAAGCCTTTGATTTTTCTCTAATTAAACATTGGATTCATTTATGATTTTTAATAACCTGGGCTTTGGTGTTGTTTTGCTTCTTGATCACATAGAGGAACGTTTTGGAGAATGAGAGCTACACAATTCTTTTTTCTTTTTTCTTCTTTTTTTTTTTTCTTTTTCCTGTGCTATAGGCTCATTTCTTCTTGTGACTAGCCTCTGTCTTTCTCCGTATAAGGAACCGGTATACTGAGCAGTATAGTTGTTTACAAGGCAATTCCCAATCCAAACTGCAGAGCTAAAGAGAACAGTACATTGTTAAGAATCAGCATGGGAAGCTGAGGAAACTGTGAAGTTGGAACATCACAGCCCCGGTGGTGTCAGAGTGCCCTCATGCATGGGTGAAAGTGGAAGTAGGCGAGAATAAACCCTTAAATATTGGTTACCCAGCTGATGTCCTAAAGATGCCACTCTTGTGACGTTTTGCTGAGAGTGCTTTTCATCTTAGATAATTCTGGCTGATTTTGTCTCAGTGTAGTGCAAGTACTCGCTTCTTAGACACCTTGTGGTGCTACGTCAGCTCAGAGCAAGTACAGACATATAGACATAGTCCCCACCTTGCTGAGGAGTCATCCCTGCTACAGGAGGCTTTCCAATCTGTGTCTGATCGTGGACAGCTGAAATAGTAGGGAAGGACCTGTGGTGCCTTGAGTCCATATCCACTGAACTCCCGTGAAAACTTGTTGGCACAAGCAGCCAGATCAAGCATGTTTTTCTTGGGGAAGTTTTTGTGGTGATCCTCAGTTACTTGGTGTTTTCATCATCAGAATCCCATGGTGGGAAGGCCTTGTAGAGAAAAGAATCGCTTGGTATGCCTCAGTCGCTTCGCAAGTTCCTGCTGTCGCTTGCACATTCAGAGATGCAACACTGTTCAGCATAGGTCGTTACAAAAGGATGAGACTGTAAGATGAGGTTAAATGAACACTAACCAAACTTTTCTGAAGATTCCTGAAATTGTAGGCATACTGTGCAGGCTAAGTGCCGGACGAGGAATGCACGTAGAACCGGGTAGGGAACAGTTATTGTACAATTCCTGTGGTTACGAGCCATAAAATCAAGTGATAGTACAGTGCGTGATTCTCTTTATCACATGAGCAGCGTCCTGAAGAGTAATTAGATATGGCCATGAAGAATAACTTACTGCATATAATTAAAAAAGTGATATCCAGGGTAATAATTCCCTTGCTTTACAAGGAAATTATGCATCTGAGTAATGGTAGCAAACAGCACCATTTAGAAAGGTTTAATGAACCTAATAGTTAACCTTGGCCACACTCTACTACAGGCTGAGGGTAAAGTATCCTTCTGTAGCTACCAGTTCTGCTAGAAAGTAGTTTTTACAGTTCCAAAAAATACTGTGACTTTCTTTTAAACTGTGACTGCTTTATATGAGGACAATTCTGTGCTGTCTCCTGCATTGATCCATCTTTGCTCAAACTTTCTGGATGAGCTTCTAAAGGGGAATAGTAAGAAAAGGCTGGAGATGAGAGATATTCCAGCCTTCCCTCTTTGGCAGAGCAAAACCTCTGCCGTGGGAGCTCCGGTGTTGGGGTTTTTTCCCCGCTTGAAGATAGTGCTTTGGTGAATTATTGGCTGAAGTTTCATTCCAGTGTCATACAAGTAGAGAGTGCTCAGTGCATCAGATGAAGCGAACACAGTGTTGACACACTGTTGCCCCTTCCCCTTTTTTTTCCCCGAGATGTGGAACCAGTCAGCTTTTTTCAGTGTGGCTCTGGCCAGAGAGGTTTTGCAGCTTATCTGAATGCTCCCGCTGGTCTGTGGTTCATTAGTGTGATGTATCATTCCGGTTTGCTAAAATAATGTAAATCATACTGGATGATAGCTGCTGTTGCCCATTCACAAAGCATATGGTGACTTCAGTGAGTCATGGAGGCTAAAATATATCATGTGGTGTCCTTATCAGAAGAGAAATTTAGCTGTTGACATTGTTGACAAAAACCAAGCAAACAAATAGTTACATCTATATAGCACAGCCCTTTGCTATTGTTAGCATGAAGTCAGGTGCTTCACGGCCAGAAAAAACTAGCTCAAATTCCCGATCTTTTACTGCAGTGCAGCATAGCCTGGCCAAAGTACCACAACAGCTTGGGCATTTATATTTACTGCTCTGTTGCATGTTGGAGATGTATTCATTTCCTTTATTTTGATCTTTTCCGTTTCAATGGCGTCAGATCTGAGGAGATGCGAATAAATTGGTTGACTGGGTAGTGGCTTGGCTGAAGGGGGTCGGCAATATCAGAGCCGGAATTGTAATTGTCAACGTCCCAAGAAATTACAGTGTATTCTATCCCTTCTCCTGCTAGAGGGGTCTTGATCTTTGCGGGTGTATGTGAGCTATGTGCAGGGAAGTCTGTAGGAATCAGCCTCCAAATTTGCAGGTTACGGGGGAAGGGTTATATAAGGAGAGAATTACCTCACATAATTAAACATGAAGCATCTCTGTGCTGTAACTTAGTTATTAAGTGATGAAATTGTTTAAACAAGAACTGTTCAGGTGATGGTGGGGTCCAAGACAGCAATTAAAAGGTCAAAGCTGATGCCAGGAGAGCTACTGTGGGAGCAAGCTTTAGTGCACATAAATGTAAATAGCAGTATAATGACACCAAGACCAGAAAACTGCCATGTCGTGTTTCACAGGGGCTGAGGGGGAGGACCCAGGTCTGCCTACCTGTCACATGGAAAGATACATCGTCAGGTTATATAGAAAAGGAGTACTGCCAGGGCAGGGACTGAGTGAATGGGGAGCCTGTGCAAGAAGCCATGTCACTTCCTTGCACTGCACTTATGTTCATGTTGTGCTTCAGCTAATGTGCTCATTTGGTTCTGCCAACTAGAAGCAAAGCCAAGTTTGGGGCTGCTCAGTTTCAAAGGAAAGGTGTCTAGCAGCAGCTCTTCTTTTTTATTAATTGTTTCTAGGGAACATTTTCCCATTCTGCCTCACTGCAAGGAGAAAAAGTCATCTTCTCTTCTCTGTGCTTGAAAGACAGTAACCACAGGAGGACTGTGGGTTCAGCCTCAGCTTTCGCAGCGTGAGGAGTGGGAATTGATCATTTTCCTGTGATGTCTGAAATGATGAAACAGGGCAGAGCGATAGGGACACCGTTAAAAAAGATCAGCAAAGCGAAAAACAGCAGCTAGGACTAAGCCAAGGTCGGCCACTCAGTCTTATGTGCCACTCCCTAGGCTGTTATTTATTGTTCATTGTAGCCTCAACAACGATCAAGTTAAAAAGTAATCCAAGCATCGCTTTTGATGAGGGACTATGCGTGGGACATGGAGCCCCAACCAGGAGCCGTTCCTCTGCCGGAGTTCAGACAACCGGCAGCGTCTTACGATTCCTGAATTGCAGTTTGCCCCTGTAACATGGCTTCTTTATGTATGTGCACAGTGCCTGGGAGGCAGCGAAGGCTGCACGGGTGTTCACAGGACCTCTGCCTGCTTCATTGCCCAAGACTGACAGTGCCGTAGGAGGGAACGAGAGGTTGAATGAAGCAACAGGGAGCCCCCAGGTTGGTTCTGGAAAAAGGTTGGGAAGGTTGCTGTGAACAGAGCTGCAGGCTGTCGGGAGAGAAGGAGCTGCTGTCGGTGAGAGCTGCTGAGCTGCCGAGAGAGAGGGCCCATCCCTGTCTCTGCCCCAGAGTTCCCAGCTGAGAGCCAGAGGGCTGACTTGCTGGCTGACATTTTCCTGGCTCCTTGCTGCATGTTCCTCATTTCCCAGGGGCCCTCCCTGGGGTGAGTGTCTGCAGAGACACAGGCCAGAGATGGGAGGAAGCCTAGGAGCCCTCAAACAGTTCCCTCCACCTGCAGGCAGTCATCGTTTAGGCTGTCCAGTAATGTATCAAACTGTACTTTAAAGCTCATTAGGATGTTTGCTCCATCCCTGGCTCTAATCACCAGCAGCAATTAGTAATTGGGAGGCCAACGGGAAGTAGAGCATAAGGCCACAGGGAGAGTGGTGCTACTGAAAAGAACAAGTGAGGGGTGAAAGGTCATTTTGTGGCTCTCGCTCTGCAATGGGCATTATTTGGCCTGTGTACTCAGTGACGCCAGGGCCTGGGGGAAAGAGGGTGTGATCATACCTTATGTACAAGGGGAGCTGTTTTATGGCAAAGCCGTGGTTTGGGCAATTTCAGATATTTGCGTGCTTTGCCTACTGCAGTGTTCTTTTTATTGGTGTGGGTGTGGGTGTCCGTAAATACAATAGAGCCATTAGGGTGGGATGGAAAGCAGGCTTTTACTGTACCAGGAGCAGGATTTGTTTATTCAGACGCTGCTGAAGCAGTGGCTTGGAAAACTCGATGGCTGCTGTAAAAGTTACATAGAAATGTCTGTGGCAAAGGACTAAACAATGCTCTCCCAAGGCAAGGTACCTCTGAGCCAAATGTTCCTTCTTCAGATTTGTAGGTATCACCTGACTCTCGTTATTCCTATCCGTTCCCAGTGGGCTGCTGAGAGAGTAAACATTGTCGTATTTCCACCAGAGAGGCACGGGTGCAGCCAACAAGAGGTCCAGGGTGAAAACTACATCTTCTTCTGCAGCAGCGGGATTTTGGAGTGATGTAAATAAAGAAAATAATGCTTAATCCTGATTGTTGGGTTACTCCCAGAATGAGTG